AAAGGAAACCAAAAACTTGAATGTGGTTGATGTGTTCACTGTACAGAAATGAATATAGAAATCTTAAACTGGCCGGGGCCACCATGGGAAGGGGACAAGGGAGGAGTGAAGAGGATTGGAAGAGATGAACCAATTGGGACTGTAATACATACATGCATGGAAAGAACACAAGGAAAGACCCTGTGTCTCAAACTAGCAAAAACGTCATGTTTCACTTCTTATCTTTTATGTTTTTTCTTCTACAAAATTGGAGAACAGAGGGCAGAACCTGAGGGTGTGGGGGTGGGAGCGGAGGGGAGTTGGCACCAGTGGGAGGGGAGACGTGGCAGGAAAAGGGGTAGGAAGAGGAATACGGTGCAAATAATGTATACACATGTATATACATGTATATAAATGCAAAAATGATATCTATTGAAACTGTTCCAGGGACCAGGGGAGGGGGGATGAAAGAGAGCAGTGGAGGGGGTGAATTCAAGTATGGTATATTTGATACATTGTAAGAACCTTTGTAAATGCTACAATGTACCCTGACCCAACAAAACAATTTTTTAAAAAAAAAAAAGATCAGAGTGTTTACCTAGCAAGCATGAGGTCCTGAGTTCAATCCCCAGTACCATGAAAACCAAAATGAAACAAAAGCTAGATCAGCACCCCACCTCTGAGCTAACCACCCCCCTCCCACCTCACTCCTACCCCTACCCCCAGAGAAGAATTTTAAAGCCTCTTCCATTTCCCAAGGCCCACTCAGGATCTGAACCAAGACTTGGCACCCCATTCCCTGCCCTTCTTGCTGGTACTCTGAGGGGTATGCAGGATGACTTCAGCACCCCTGGGTGGCTCTTCCTGACCTGGGGTCTAGTTCAATGAGGAGGGCACCAGGAGGGAGAAGGTGCAGAGCCGCTTGGCAGGCTCCCCTCCCCTCCAGGAGTGCCTCCACTCCCCACCCCTTCCCCTGCCCATAGGGGAGAAACCGCAGGGGTGAGGGACCAGTGAGAAACTGGGGACAGGGGTTTTGGAAGAAAAAAAATAAGGACAATGTGGTAGGATCAGGCCCTGGGGGTCTTTTTTTTTTTTTTTTTTTTTTTACTTACTGTGGCATTGTCTTGTCCGTAGAGTGACATACTTAATAAAGGCTTTTCCTTTAAGGGCACTTAAACTGATACCTGTGGGATTTGGTCCCAATGCCAGTGCCACTGGTTATAGGGAACATAGTTCATTCTTTTGAACTTTGCATCTCCTCCCTTCCCTTCCTCCATTGCAGCACCTCCTGATGCTGACCACTGGCCTTTTGGACAAAATATCTGTGTTAGACACTCCATAACCCACCCATGAAATTCTCATAAACTCCCAGGACTGAGTATTCTCAGTTCCATTTTTGTACTGATTGTACAAATGGAGAAACTAAGGCTCTACACTGCCAGAAGCATGGGAAAGAATGGACGGTCCCATGACTTCAGGGCAGGAGAGGACTCTGGTGTGGGGAGGGTCAACTAATCAGGGGATCCTGGACATGTGTGAAAGCCAGAGGTTTTTAGTTTATCATGGATCCCAGCCATCATGGGATGTTCTACTTCTGCCCTCCCCATCTCCCTCTACTTCCCTTGCCCACAACCTCCTGTGTAACCCTGGGCTCAGCTCCCCAGAGGAGCCAGCATTTGGGAAGTTTCCAGGGGGAAAGACCCAAATTCCTGGTCTCCATCTCATCCTGGCTTTTCCACCTTGAAATGGCTTTATCAACTGCCCGGTAGGAAAGGACAGTAGACATTGTTTGACTGATGGATAAATCGAGGTCAGGAGAGGAAAAGTGACTCACCTGAGGCCACACAACCAATGAGTGGCAGAGTAGGGCCTAGAAGCCAGCTTCCAGCCCTCTGGCTCTGCCAAGTGCTCTTTCTACCACACTAAATGGCTCTGCTGCCCTGGTTCAGCCCTGACCTCTCCCCCACCCACACTTGCAGCCAGAGACTCCTAGGAAACTGTGTACTTTTCCCAGAGCTGCCCTCTGGGAGGGACCCTGCCTTGTCAGCTCTGTCCTCAAGCAGGCTGGTCCTCCCTTTCCCTCCCCCCAACCTGAGAGCAGGCAAGGGTGGAAGAAGGGTGAGGAGAATGGAAGGGGTTTAAACTTATTTTGCCTCAAACTGATTAACAAATTACCTACAGCTATTATGCAAATGAATCTATCATACACACCTCAGTAACCGCTGATAAGAAGACTTGGTGTGGGAGTGTGGTGCTGTATGGAGGTGGGGGCCCAGTTACCCTTTAGAACTGAAGGTGCTACTGAGGGTTAAGAAGGGTGACCTGATCACCCACTCCCTGCCCCCCAGCTGGGCCTGCCTGGGTCTGGATCTTTGCAGAGGGGGTGCATGTGTGTGTTTGTGTGTGTGTGTCTGAAAACTACATGAGAGACAGGAAGACAAGAGGAGAGGAACAGAGAAAGCCTTGAGCTGCAAAGAACTTGTGCCAAGGAACGGACTGAGGGACAGGAGGATGCTGCAGAGGACTGGGTGTGGAGTGGCCTGTGTGTGTGATGTTTGCAGCAACAGAATGTCTGCATGCTTTTGGGACTGGGGAGGAAGCAAGCCCACAGGGGAAACTGAGGAGTGTGCTCTCCCCTCCTGCTGGCCTCTAGGGTAGGACTGCAGCTTGTCTGAGGCACAGATTCCTTGTTGCCCCAAGGCAGAAGTAGGAGCAGTCTTTCCTTATGTTGGTATTCTTCCTTCTCCCAGCCACTCAGGTTCCAGCAAACCTTCAGGGAAAAGTTCTCGCCCTCCTCCCGGCATCCTGAGATCCAGCAAGGGGGCATTTGGGCACTGGATTCTCCCCACCTAACTTGCATCCCATCCCCACCCCAGGGCCCTTTCCCTACATCCACAAACTTGATTTCTCAAGTTGGGATATCTGCTAGGACCTTTTTGTTTTTAGGTTTGTTTTGTTTTGTTGGTACTATTGGAGTTTGAACTCAGGGCCTCAGGCTTGCTAGGCAGGTGCTGTATCACTTGAACCACACTGTCAGCCTCTCTGCTAAGGCCTTGATTGAGGATTTGCCCCCAGTCCATACCAATGGGCTACCTAAACTGAAACTTGCAGGAGATGGCTAGAAACACAGCAGGGAGAGCTCTGGGCCAGGAGGCAGAAGCTTGGGTTTCTTCTGCTAGTCTTTTTAGGATTTGTGCTGTGATCTTTCCCAAGTCCCTTCCATTCCTGAGCTTGGGTTGTTTCTCTGGAACCCAAGGGGATTGGACCAGATACCTTACAGCTTAGGTGCTATACTCTAAAGAGGGAGGAGGAGGAGGAGCAGGAAGGAAATGGGGCACAGGCGGATGATACTGACAGGGACGTTCTTGCAAAGCTGGAACTGTTCCCTGAGCCTCAGCGTCCTCATCTGCAAAATGGAAATTGCTAATAGACTAAAAGGTAGTTCTGAAAGATGGATGAGAAAGGGATATAATGACTCAGGATAGAGTCTGCAAAATAATGTGTGCGGGGAGGTTTTGAGTTCTTGAGAATTTGCAGGGACTCGTTTCCCGGGGACAGCGGTTTTCGGATTATGGGAGAGTGGGGGGATTGGGGGAGTTGCCAACCGTCGGTTGTGGGAGGTCAGACAGGGGACGTTCTGGGGGCCCAGCCTGTGAGATGCTAGCTGGGGACTAGACTAGGGCTCCAGGCGGCGGGCATGCTGCATTGAGAAGGCAGGGTGGGGACACCGGGAGGCTGCACCTCCGCACAGTCCCGAAGCTGGATTCACACATCAGACCCTTCCAGAAGCTCACATTTCTCCAGCTTATCTCACACAGAATCACTTCCTTTGTTTAGAGGAGGGGGTGGGGGAGGAGACGGAGGGAAAGGAGGGAGGGGCCCGCGGGTGTCGCCGCCGCCCCCGCCCGGTGTGCCGAGCCTGATTGTCACTCAGCTCCCGCGCCGGGGGCGACGGAGGCTCCGGCGCCTGAGTGGAGTCCCAGCCAGCAATCATCCCCTTGGATCTAACAGACCAGCCCTGGATTCTCTAGACATCCTGCGGGAGAGCCTGCTTGAAGGCGTCCAGGTGTGGGGGCACTTGGACAGAACAGCTCAGGTGACCGCGAGCTCAGCCAGCTTTGGTGTGACCTTGGGTAAGTCTATGCCTCAGTTCGTCCCTGGGGCTCCCCCATGAGGGTGCTGGAGAGCGTTGAATGGAATGCACCCTTAGGTTAGGCGGTGGGCAAGGGTTCCCTGCAGAGCTGGAACTGGAACCAGGAGGCTGCAAGAGCCCGGCGCCTGCAATGTCCCAACTGGGTGGGCGCAGGGCCGGCGGTGCGCGCACGCTGGGGAATGGGAAGCCGCAACAGAATCTCGTCCTAGGCTTAGTCCCCGAGACCCACGCCTGCTACCCCAGTCCCAGGTGCGAAACAGGGGCGCTACCTCTTTAAAAGCGTCCGGGGCTGAGCCTCTGTCGCACCATGTGATTGCTTGAAAGGCCGGGCTGGGAGCGCTGCGGCGGGAGCCCAGAGGAGATGTGCTGCTCCGCTGTGCCCAGAGCCCAGCCCTGCCTGGCGGAACTCTGGGCGGCACCCCTCGCGGGGAACTTTGGGCACTGCCTCTGAGACCCCCTGCCAGCCAGCAGGCAGGATGGTGAGCTCCCTGCACCCTGTTCTGTGGACACGGGTGGGCAGCGCTGGGCACGGGGGACCCCTGTGGAGTGTGTGTGTGCTGGGAGCTGCCTCATACCTGATACAAAAGCCGTTGGTGGAGTGAGCGCTGCTATTTTAAGTTGCTGGATGGAACCTCTGGGGACAATAAGGGGAGGGGACAAAGGTTAGGCAAACAGAGGGCCAGGGTGTCCTGGCCAGCCTGGGCGAGCACTGGATGTGCCAAGTGGGATACATCTTTGCAGGGCAGCCAAGTTCCAGGGCTGCCTGGGTCCTACCAGGCGGGCCTCCCCACCCCAAGCTTCCTGACTACAGGTGCTGGCCTCGAGCCCCGCGGTGCCTGTCTGCTGATGTGCCGAACCGGTGCCCGCCATGCCACCCTCCATCACAGCCTTCCAGGCTGCCTACATTGGCATTGAGGTGCTCATCGCCCTGGTCTCCGTGCCTGGGAATGTGCTGGTGATTTGGGCCGTGAAGGTGAACCAGGCTCTGCGGGACGTTACCTTCTGCTTCATTGTGTCACTGGCAGTGGCTGATGTGGCCGTGGGCGCCCTGGTCATCCCATTGGCCATCCTTATAAACATTGGGCCACAAACCTACTTCCATACTTGCCTCATGGTGGCCTGTCCTGTCCTCATCCTCACCCAGAGCTCCATCCTGGCCCTGCTGGCGATTGCTGTGGACCGCTACCTCCGCGTCAAGATCCCGCTCAGGTGAGTCCACAGCAACCCAAGGCATGGGCAGTACCTGTGCTGGTTCACTCCAGAGCCAGATAGAGAGGATAAAAGATAGAACATGAGATTCCCCCCAGCCAACCAGCCAGGTGTTCTCCAGCCATTGTGCCCTAGCCCTCACTCTGCCTTCCTGGGCTCTGTGCCATGGTGCCAGGTTGAGCTGCTGCTGGAGAAGCAGGAGAGGGCTGGGTGGCTGGAGGAATGTGACCTGGCAGTGCCCAGAACCCAGCACTGAAGCTGCTGCAGCCAGGAAACCCGAGGCTGCCTATCAGATTTGGGGTGGAGGTAGAAGGTTTGGAGGGGCCACCAAGACAGCACTGCCAGAGAGAAAGAGAAGGAGAACAGAGAGCTGGGGTAGGGGTAAAGATGTGCTGAGGGTGGCACAGCAGAGCAGGTGGGGGACTGCTGCTTCTCTGACCAGACCAGCCAGGCTTCTCGAAGACACTCCTTGCTGGCTTATTCTCCAGGTCTCTCTCTCTCTCTCTCTCTCTCTCTCTCTCTCTCTCTCTCTCTCTCTCTCTCTCTCTGTGCCAACTGACTCCATTGTCCAGGGCTGTCCTGCTGGGTCCAGGAGACTGATTACCTCTGCCTAGCTCCCACTTAGGAGATCTCTGTTGTGGGCAAGATGGAAAATGTGGGTGCCTGCTTCTGATGCTTCCATCTGTTGCAAACCTGTGTCTCTGCCGGCTATAGCAGAGGTGCTTAGCCACTTCTGGGTAGCTCTGGGGTGGGAGGCCTTGATGGTGGCAGTCCTCAGTGTGGGTGTCCATCTACACTGTGGCTCCCTGCCCAGGCTTGCCAGGCCATAATCTCATCACCAGGCAGTGCCTGGGCCACCAAGTGCCAGTGAGGGCCTGGGAACACTGCCATGAACTGGCCCTGCTGGGACACTCTTGTGAGCACACTTGCCCCTCTTTATAGTCTCACCACTGGGAGATTCCTTTTTTTTTTAATGGGAAGCTCTGGCCATCTCTGGCACCTGTCAGCCCATTCTGGTGTAGCTTCCCAGCTCCCATATCTGGGACATGGGGCCTCTGATCTCTCTTGGCAGCTTGCCTGGGCAGGCCTAGGTACTCAATGCTTATCCCTTTGGTCACATTTGTGCACATTTAACTTTTCCCAGCCTCTTTTCATGCTGTCTTTTCCCTGTTCTCACTGTGATCTGGCAAGGAAGGTGGAGCAGGAGCTGGTAAAGGGGAAGCAGGCCTGGAGGCTCAAGAGCCCTCATTCAACCAAGCCCTCCTTCCCGATCCCCCGCCCCATGCCCAGGACTGTGATACCAGCCTCTCTGCCCTGCCTACCTCCCTCACAGCTGCCAAGCTTCCCAGGGAAGGTGGGGTGCAGACTGCTGCTCAGGGGAGGAAGCAAACAGCCCAAAAGCCTCCTGAGCTCGGCCTCTGAGGATTCTTCATGCTGCCATTAGTCCTGGGGCATTGCTGAATCTCACAGATGAAACTGGTCTCAGCCCATTGAATGGACTGGGCCTCAGAGTTCTACCATTATAACAGTGTGGCCACATCAGGCACACATACAGATGGGCAGATGGAGGAAGGTTGCTCAAGAAATTCTGCCTGCTGAGTGAGTGCCAAGTACAAGCCAAAGGCCCAATCCTGATGTGACAGAGGTCGCAGACTGTGGAATGTGCTCTCCTTGCCCTGGGGGATGACTGTGCTGGAAGGACCTGCAGGCTTACTCTTCCAGAAAGCAACTGCTGTTGCTTGGGCACTGGGGGGGGGCTCAGTGGGGAGGGGGTGTCTTTTGAGGGCCAAGGCAGGGGTGTGTGTACAGTCTAATATAGGCCTGGCTCAAATTCTTGCTATAAATTTCTAGCCATGTGACCTTGGGAAAGTCACTTATTTAACCTCCTTAAAGTTTAATTTCCTCATCTATAAAAGTGGACATTAATAACAGTATGACTGCCTGGGGTTACCAGAAAAACAGGATGAACTCATACACATGACGTGCTTAGCATCGGGCCTGATATAGTATACTTAGCCTGTAAGTTTATGTTAGTAGTTTTATTATCATTATTAATATATGGCTCAGAGAGGGGCTGGATAGACAAACCCTGCTTTTCCCCACCCAAACACTCATGCTCTTACATGGCAACTCACACGTACACACACAGACATATCTATACACACTCACACACAAACATATGCACTGACACACAACACACTCCAGGGAGGTGTCAATATACTGTTAAGTTTTATCTGACCATATGCCTTCTCCCCTCGTGGATGGTTGTTACCTCAAGGACAGTGACTCAGGCAGTGACCATATCTTGTCTGCTTCTATGAAATATCCAGAAAGCCCAGCTCAGTGTTTATCTAGCCCCTGGCAGACACTCGGCACTCATGTACTCAGGTAAGCCCCAAGCAGGCCTCTCAGGTGTCTCACATCTAGTTTTCTACCATTCTACCTCATGGTCCTATCCGCAGCTGTTCCCACCAGCTCGGTGTGGCTCTCTCACCAGTGTGCTTAGAGTGAGTGTCCCACCCTGCAGAGAGAAGCCTTTCTCCTTAGTTAGGGACCTAGCTCCTCAAGGAGGTCTCCTGGCGGAGGTGTTGGCCACTCTGTGTCCTGGCCTGTCACCACCCAGGGGTCCTGCAGCAGGAACAGCATGCTCTGCTCCTCTCTGGGCAGCTGGAGTCAGTGGGATGCCAGGTCTGTGAATCCCCACAGGCATGGCTCCCTGCCCTGACTCACCAGTCAAAGATCACTGCAGCCCTAAGCAGACGGAGTAACTCCAGCAGGCATCGGGGAGATGTGTCTGGGTATTTGGACACAGGAGTCAGCTGGGCCCTCAGTGAGCAAGATATGGGTTGGTCAGTCAACCACAGACTTTATTTCCTTCTACGTGGTAGAAAGCCAAGAGAGAAAAGAGATTCAGATCATGTAATTGTGATCCAGTTACAAAGTCTAAAAAAAAAAATGTTCAAACTGTTGACTCATCAATAACTTGTGGTCATTTGCATGTTATTTGCATAAACCCTCCTTATACTTAGTTATTGATATTCTATTCCCCTCACTCCTAGTTCTAGAGAATCTTCATCATTCATCCCTCTGCCTCCTTGCCCAGACCTTTCTTAATGGCACTCTGTAGCAGTTGGTGCCTACCCCAGGGACCTCCCTGACCAAAGCCTTGCTGTGGGAAGGAGACCTCAGCAAGGGTTGCCCATGGCCAGTTGGGTAGAGTGAAGCCAAGGGGTAGTGAGTGTGTGGGAGTTAGCCAGACATGAGTGTGAAGTTTGTTTTGTTACTAGCTAGCAGTGCAACCTTGGACAAATTATTCAACCTCCCTGAGCCTTTTCCCCCTGGTCATATGTTAAATGAAGGGTTGGATTTGAACTCACCTAGATTCCTTTCAGCTTTAACTCTCTGTGGTTCTTCCTTATCCTGAGTCCTGACAGTGTGGTCTTGGGATCCTGGTAGAGTCTCGAGTTGTGTTTTTTTTCTTCTAGAAATTATGATCTGGACACACGCCATGGTGTCTCATTTGGTGTTCATAGACTCTTAGTAGTAGAAGTTATTGTTATTCTTTAGGTAAACTGAGGTCTAAGCCTTGAAAAGTTTGGTAATTTTCCCAGACAAGCGGCTTGTCAGGAGTAGTCAGTTTGGCATCTAGGGCTTTAACTTTGCAGCTTGCATCTGTCCAAGCAGCTGTAGGACTTATGCAGGTGTTTCCCTAAAGCTGTCGGATGCAGGGTCTTTCTCCTCTGATTTTTGCCAATGACCTCTGCACTCTGCTCAGCCCACACTCAGCACCTCCTCCCACCTTCACTCCAGTGGGTAGTTGAATCCTGGCATCACTTTCTCTGCCCACAGATGGAAGCCTGCCCAGGTGGGTGCCGACCCAGGGAAGAACAAGGAGAGTGGGAGAGGCCTGGTGTGCTGGGCTGAGCTCTGGGCAGGGAAAGAAATCTGATAGATTAAGGTATGTTTGCTTTTAGGCACCAAATTAGCCCTCCCCACACTGGCCAGCCTGGCTTTTTCTTGACAACTGAAGTAGGCTTTTGTATTGCTGTACCCCAGCAGGTTTCTGTGGCTGCTGGGTCCAGTTGCTGTCAGTTCTCTATATACTTCTAAGAGATGTGGCTGTCTCTAGATCCTCTTTCTAATGGTGCATTGTTCATAGGCCTAGAGCAGATGGGGGAGACCCTGAGCCCAACCCCTCACACTTGCGGATTGATGAGGAAACTGAGGCCCAGGGATGTGGGGAGCTTGTTCAAGGTCATGTGGCTGGAAGCTCTTTGCTCCTCTCAATGCAGACTCTTGCACTTCTGCCTCTGATGTGAAAGGCTCATGCAGGAAGAGCAACCACCAGCTCCTGGAGGCTCAGAAAATGAAAATGCAGTCTCCATTGGTTTGGTCAGCAAATGTGTGGTGGGTTTGGAAGGGGTGTGATGTAGAGAAGTCACTTAGTGATGAAGAAGGCAACTGCTGTAGTCCTGGGCAGCCTCTAGGTGGGTACAGTGCCTAGGAGCAGGCTGAGCTGGGGCTCGTGGGCCTTCATTGCAGAGATGCCTGGGTTCATTTTAGAGGTGAAGGCTGCCCCTGTACCCTGCATTGGGATGCCTGAGGGACAACCTGCCCGGGTGTCTGTGGTTTGAAAGCAGGGGAATGGCCAAGAGGCCTTGTAGAGAATGCTTTCTATCCATGGGTCCTGGACTGGAGCCACACCCTGACATTCGATGTTTATTTCTGAGCATAAAAGCAATCCGTGTTGATTGTGAGAAATGTAGGAAAGAATAAAGATGGTGAAATCACCAGTACTTCTACCACCTACAGAAAGTACTGTTAACATTTTGGTGTTCCAGAAAAACTTTCCACACATGCATATATATAGATAGATACATTATTTTTACATTTGGAGAGCATCTCTCTCTATGTAGTTTTATATTCCATTTTATTCGCTTAACATTATATTATGGATATTTCCCCATGTCAACTAAAATGATCTCATAAGGACTTTTATG